GTCACCGCACCCCGGCCATTCGAAGCGTCGGTTTCTTGGCTGAGGCTGGGCACCCGTATGCGGCAGCGTCAGCTGACACTCGAGAAGGAAGAGCCCATGAAGGCACGGCGATCGGATTTTTTTTAATTTTTTTTCTTGAGCAAGTTGTAAGCTTGCTTCGCTTTCTCAAGACAAACCTCAAAGTCACAAAAAAAGTGCACTACCAGTGGTCCCCCAGTCTCTTTTTTGGACCATGTCTTTGGAAGCCGTGCAAGGTGAAACCAAACCCCGGGCCCTCGGTTTTTTTTTGGAAGTCTGAGTGCCGCTTTTTTTGTTGGACCATGTCTTAAAGAGCGGAGCGTGAAGGTGAAATCGAGCTAGCTTGCGGAGAGGAGGGCCCACACCTCAACCGCAGAGGTTGTGTTTGGGGCTTCATGTGACTGTGGCGATGATTTGTTCAATGGGGGAACCCCCAAGCAAGCCGTGGTGCACTCATCTTCGCACCGGGGACCAGTTAAGCATCGATGGGGGCCCGGAAATTCGGGCACCAAATCCGTAACAAAGCTTGAGCCACCTTTACAGGACTCATGTGGCACGCGGGGGGCTGATCCTCGCACGAGACTACATGTCCCTGGCGTGCCCCACATTTTTTGCCCGCCACTTGGAAAGGAACGAACGGTGTGTACGGCTTAGGTTGCATCTGGTTTGGGCAACCCAAACTCAAACCGCCATGAATCAAAACCAATGGTACCATTTTGGGATAGGTGAATTCCCCACTCATTTTAGAACCTATTTTGTGGGGGATTGGGATGTTCACTGGGGGTACCGGGGTTTTGACCCATGCATGGTTGTTGTTGGGACACATCTTACATTTTTGCTTATTTTGGTTTAGTGGGAAATCCCCACTTAGCTGCTAAAATTTGAATTTTTGCTCCCCTTTTAACGTTAATTAAACATGGCCTTCATTTTATTGGGTGCTTTGCTCAGCTCGAAATAGGACCGCCTCTTCTTCGTGACCACGGTGGACAGCTCCTGCAGCGGCAGCCAGGTGACCACTGAGGCGCTGGCGCTTGAGGGATTTGGACTCCGTGGGACGTGTAAGCCGTCTATGGCTGAGGAATGGGAAGGTCTGGTTAAAAACGTTCGAGTCCAGTACCCCTCGAACGTCAGGTTCCATGTTTATTGGTGGGAGGGTAATGGGAACCCCGGATCCAAGTAGAACCGCTGGTTGATTTTATTTGGGAGGGAGTTGTCCCTTTGTGCGGGTTTCAGACCACTTTCGGCAGGGAACACCCCCACATAAATAGGAGGTGTTCAGTAATCCGGGGTCAGCATTTATCTGGGGTGTCCTCTTCTGGTAGGAATCCCGGGGTTTTCTCGGGTTGCGTTTTCGCTTGAACTTTGTTTTTTCTCGCAGCAGGTGAGTAACAAGAGGCAAAGACATGAACTTGCGGAACCACTCGTTGCCAGTCATGTTGGTGTTTTTAGCAATAGGATGGGGTTGGTAGGGATGGTCATCAACCTCTCAAAACCAGTTTCAGCTAACCGATGTAAAGGTTTTTCCGTAACACATGACCCAGATGTTGGTGGAGTTTTGACCATGTCACATATGGCTATGGGTCAAACATGGGTATCCAAAATGAAACCCTGGTTGACGGAACCAAGGACTAAAGCCTGCGGTCCCCTAGTTTAATCTTGACCATGGCACAGCTGAGGTTGTCGTCAATCAGAGGGGGAGGGAACAACAAAGACGGGTTTATGGTTGACAACCCCAAGGTTGTTGCTCAGGTTGTGACCACACATGCCATGGACACAAAAAGGCAGATCTCCAAATGACAGCTTTTTTCCTTTGGGTTACTTTGAAACACCTGGCTTTCCATGGTACATGGTTCCTTTTTTGGCCAGCCCTAAGAATCTTGGTACCTCATGGAGGTCCCAAACCTTCCAATGTCGGTCCGAATCAACCTCGCAAATGTTGGTTTTTTTTCTTTTGGGCCCCCTCCAAAAAGAAGAGATAAACAACAATGGCGGTTTAACGTAGTACTTACCCTCCAATACAACGCACTCCCAACATTAAAAAAAGGTGGTCCCCCCAAAAAACAACGAACACCCCATGCATTCCCCCCCCCCCCCAAAAAAAAAAGAAAAAAACAAAAACAAACACAAATAAACACAAAAACACAAACACCAAAAACACAACAACACACACAAAAACAGAATAACAAAAGCACAACCACCACAACAAAAACACAACTAAAAACAAAACACTACAAAAAAAACAGCACAACACAACAACACACAAAAACAAAACGGTCTAAATCCCCCCCCTCCCCTGCCCCCCAGCTTCCGGCCTTCTCGTTTGCGCAGGCATGCCAGCTGCCCAGCTGCTCTGGCTGCACCCCAGAGGCGCGGTGCTGGCCATTTCTTCCTAAAAAACATCCGTTAAATGGCTGTGGGTCAAAACCAATGGGGTAGGTGCACAACTTGCACAACCCATTTTAAACCCAATTGTAGTGGGGATTGGGATGTTGACTGGGGGTGCGGGCTTTTGACCCACCGCCAAATGGACCTAAGCATCGAGTCAACTGTTGCACCTTGCCTTTGTGTTTCCCCTCTTGTTTTTTTTGGGGGGGGGGGGGGGGGGGGCAATTTGTGAACCTTTTGTTGTGGCGTTGACTTCTTCCGGTTTTTGAGGCAGGGGGGTGTTGACATTCGGCCTTTTTGGTTGAAAGGGAGGGGAAAAGATGGAGGTGTTGAGCTGGGGTCGCCCTCTAAGAAGCAGGGCCTTCCCGCGATTGTGATCTTAGCACAGAGTCGTTGGTTTTGTTGGTTCCTCTAAGTGAACTTGTATATAAAGGTACACTCCCGATCAACATGGTACCTGAACATCCATAGTTTCTAGAAATATACTCTCCTTTTCAAGGTTGCCTTTTTGATGTCCCTAAGCTGTATAATTCTGCCGGCGCTACGGTGAGATCCTTCAGTGTCGCGAAGTAAAAGGGGGTCAACCCAATCCGGGGCTCTCCAAGGTGTTCTAATGGACCGGGGTTTCAATCGCATGCAGCGTGCCTCAAAAAATGCAGCGCGTTTGAGGTCCTAAGCCTTCCAATGGAGGGTCCAATCATGCTAAGGGTGGCTGGAGTGGGCCAATCCGGTTTGCGGATTTTGGTGTCGCGCCGCGTTTTTTGCAACGAAGCCGCGGGAGGACTGCATCTTCAACCCATGGTCCTCCTGGTCGGATCCCACGTGCGGGGCACAGGGGGCCCTCCGATCGAAAGTCCAGGGGAAGTGGCCTGAGTGGCACCATGAGTGGTACACAAGTCGAGCGGCGGGTTGGGAAGGTGCGGCAAAACAAAAATCTGGCGGCAACAAAAAACCTTGGTTGTGGAGTTGTTTTCTTTGTCGAACAAATCATGTTCGGGTTTGAGCCTGGGTTTCCCGCCAGCGATCAGGTACCCCAATGAGCCTGCGTGGTATGATCCGCTCCTGGGTACGTCGGTTTTTAATAACAGGCTCACGAAAAGGGGGGAAACGTGCCGGGGGATACCAACAAAACTCCTCAATGCTATGGGTTGTGGTGATTGTTTGGTCTCTGCTGGATTGGAAGGTGGAGCATTGGTTGGAAAGGTGGCACTTGGGTGTTTTAGCCAAGTTAGGAATTTGCTGGTAACCTATAACCATTTATCGGTCGCCCAAGTGGGGTTAACCTTGTTATCGGGGGGGGTGCACCCCAAGTGGCGAACCACACTTTCTAACTTGGCCGAACATCAAAGCAGTCCTTTCTTTGCCAGGTGCACTCAGCTTTGTGAGCGTCATCGGACAGTCGCCCAGGAGGGGGTTCAGGCAATGAGGCGTCAGTGAGTGCAGCGATCACTTCGCAGGAAAGCAGCTGTGGCGGGAAGGTGTGCAACGGAACGCTGCTGGAGACGAAGAGGTCAGGTTTTTTGCAGTGCCAGCTCCGGAAAAGCAGGACTGTCAGTTTCAGGGGCCTGGGTTTGGGTTGGTTTAGCTTGATGCATTTTGAAGTACGGTCAATGTTTCCAGTAATCCATGGTCCACTTGGGAGGGGCATGGGGGAACTCAGCAAACTTCCCACAACCACCAGGAGACTCACAAAGTTTCCCTCGTCCTCTTGGGGCGAATCTTGCAAGGCTCAGTTGGGTGTGTCTCAAAATGGTGAACCCCTTGGTTGGCGTTTGAAGGGACAGAAAAAGGACATGGCAATAAGTTGCTTTTCAGGTTCCCCCACCATGCAACACTCTCATTTGGGCGTGTCTCAAAAGAGATGCCCCCCCCAAAAGGGCGGTTTCCTCCAGTTTTCCTTTAAGCCCTCTTTTTTTGGGGGGCCCTCAAGAATTGTGGGTTTCCTCTTGGTTTCGAATGAACACATCACAAAGAAGGGTGGTACTAACTCCAAAAAACAGAGACACGGTCCACTTGGGCCAACAGGTGCGAGCGCCACTGCAATTTCCCCGTGGACTGCGTCTTCGGAGACTGGAGCAGCGCTGGCCTTTTTTGTTCAGCGGTTCTCGAGTGAATAGCACCATATTCTTTGAGGTCCCCACACAAAGCAAAAAACAACAACTTGGATCAACCCTTCTGGGGGCATCGACGCCCCAACTTTTTTTTGCGGTTCCCACGCCAAACATCCCCCGCTCAGTTTGGAAGTTGGCTCGCTCTCCAAAAAAAGCTGGTGGACCCCCCCCTTTTAGCAAACCCCCCCCCCCCAAAAAAAAAAAGACGAGCTGTGGACCCGCTTTTTGCAACCCCCTCAAAAAAAAGACATTTCCCGCCAGCTTGGAATTTGGCTCGCTTGTGGGCCCCCCTTTTTGCAACTTCCAACGCCAAGTTTCCCGACCTTGGATAATTTTGGCTCCTTTTGCCACCCCAAAGAAAAGACGAGCCGCCCGAGCGGGATTTTGCCCGCCCGCGCCTCGCGCGCCTCGCCAGGTGAGTGGCAGGGCGAGTGCCTCAGCCCCCAGGACCAGAGGCCAGCCGCTCGGTCGGTCCAGCGGTCGAGTCGAGCGGTCGATGGGTTCCATTTGCTGAAGCCCCCTGGAAAAAATAGGGAACATATTTTTCCAGTGGTGATCGATTCCTTTTTCAACCAGGGGACAATTGGAAATATTCTTAAACGAATGGAAGATTAAGAATGTCTAGGTCCCCCAGACCCACGGTGGCCCCAGAAAATCTGGGCCATCTTCCTTCTCACGGCTCGGTGGGTGATCCAACACCTTACTATTCTAGGTCCCCCAGCTAGGTGCCCTTTTACCCTTTCTTTTTTTGGTTGGGAGGATTCCCCTACGTACTAAAATAGACCACAGAAAAGTTGGCACCCTAATTCTAGCCTTTCTACCGGAGCACCTAGATGTGCATGGACCGACATCCTTTCTCATCTTGAAACCGTGGGACTGAAACCACAAGGTTTGGTATTTAGAAGTGGAATTGAATCGAAAACCAGGGTTTCTGAACGGTGGTGCGAAATGGATTTCGTCCATCCACTCTAGGAGTCGCCTTTTTGTTTTGGTAGAACATCGATGGCGATTGCTGGTGGACCACGTTGTTTCATAATCTGCCAGGCAACTCCATCTATTTTCCCAGCTCTGTGTTTGGGACACTTGTGGTTTCCAGCTGGACATCTCAGATCGGCTTATGAACCCGAGTGGCGAAAGTTTAAGTTGCCGGCCACAGGATTACGGGAGATTGGCCACCCACGAAACGCAAGTTGATTTCCCCTAGAAATTTCCCCCCTTTTTGCCGAACCGTTTCTGAGGTGAAAGGCCACCCCCTAACCTCCAGACCGCCAATCCAAACCACCAATGAAATAGATTTGACAACGGATCTGAGGCCCCACTGGATCCCCCAAAACCGCGCAGGTTCCAGTCTCGCAGCATCGAGACACCGGCCATCAACGGGGGCGATCAATGCAAGGGCGCCGGGGGCTTTATCGGATAGCAACAGTGGAAAGTGGACATGAGCTTCAATGGGGTCCTTTGGTGGACCTCAAAATCTGGGGGGTTCATGTCCACCGACCTTTGGGATCCCTCGAAGCCACCAAAGCAGGCCTGAGAACCCTCATGCGTGCGTGCGTGCGTGCGTGTGTGCAGGGCGGGCGTGTGCGTGCGTGTGCGTTGGTGTGCGTGTGCGTGTGCGTGTGCGTGTGCGTGGCGTGTGCGTGTGCGTTGCGCGTGCGCGTGCGCGTGTGGGCGCGTGCGCGTGTGGCGGGCTGCGGTGTGGTGCGAGCAACGCGATCCGTGCGTGCGTGCGTTGCGGTGTGGGTGTGGGGGTGGGTGTGGGTGTGGGTGTGGGTGTGGGTGTGGGTGTGGGTGTGGGTGTGGGTGTGGGTGTGGGTGTGGGTGTGGGTGTGGGTGTGGGTGTGGGTGTGGGTGTGTGTGGGTGTGTGTGTGTGTGTGTGTGTGTTTTTCATTTGGTACCATTCTCACCTTGGTTCAAAAGGAGGACCGAAATGACAACCACCATTTGTGTCACAAGTCTTGGGGTTCCCATTGTCAGAACCACTCAAAGTGGGTAGATACTTTTCAAAGGACGGGGTGATGTAACCTGAAGAAAGACTAGCTATGATTCGGCTGAGGAAGAGGTATGATGAAATGGCCATGCCGACCCTGAGCCACCGACAATGTCCCAAAGAAGGGGACCCTCAAAGAAAGAAGTGGTTTTCACGTTGTTCCTCTTCACCCCCTCTTCCCCCAAGAAGAAGAGAGAAACAAGAACATGGATGTGGTTTTCACATTGTCCCCTTTCACCCCCCCCCCTTAAAAGAAAACATGGTCCCCAGCAAAGAAGACGAGCGACCCATATGGCGAAGCTAACTCTCTCGAGAGTTTGACGTCCAGAGGCCACCAAGAAGACTTCGCCCTGCGGAGGTGAAGTGGAAGACTGCAAGGCGCGAGCGTTTTGCGTGACGACAACGACCTTCAATTGAAGAAAAGACGCCTCCAGATGGAAACTGTGATTAGCCATGGTTCATATCATCATCAGGGACGTCGCGTTAGTGACCGACCTGTGGTGTTTTGGCTCAAGTTTTGGATCCGGCGCGCCTCGGATGAGCGTCGCCGGGCCCTCACGTCGACCGCCTTCGTGTCGGAGGAGAAAGAGACTTCGGCCCGGGGTAGGTTGGTGGGGATCGCCCGTGCGGTTCATCGTCGATCTAGGTTGCGGGTATCCTTTTCTGGTTTGGTTTGTTTTCCTTTGGTTGTTGTTCTCTGGTGTGTGGGAAACCCTGATCTTTGGGACCGGGGATTGGTTTGCTTTTGGGGAACCTTTCTTTTGTGGCTTGTTTACCCCAACTTACCCATTGCCTGGGCACAGGCTCGTGCCCGAATCACAGGTTATCAGCCGTAGGACTTTCCTACGCGCTTGAGACCATCAACTACAAGCTCTATGTCGACCCCACGATCTCGAAGGAGCGTCGTGGATGAGGAGGCCATCCTAGGTGGCCTCCGCTCAGGTGAGGACCTACCGGACTATGACTACGAGGATTTCGAAGCAGGTTCAACAGGTCAGGACCGCAGGGGTGAAGATCCCGGTAGGGATACACCCAGGAGCCGTGGCAGGTACGCCGACGATGGAGACGATCGTATTTTCCGCCAGGCCACTGATGACGAGCAGACACGAAGGGTTTACTCCGGTAGGAGTGGCTCTGAATCAGGTCACAGGCGTGGACGTTTTGACTTCATCAGCATGGCGATGGACATGGCCCGCCCTCATTCGGATGACCCGGAGGCCATGCCGATTCGACCTCCGAGATCTCTTGTTCCAGGTGAGTCGCAGGTCTCGGATGAGTTTGAGAATAGGCCGCAGGGACCAGGGACTATGGTTCTGGCTCCGGGAGGTATCCCGGGCCGATCCATTGGTTCTCAAAATCCAGGTCAGTTTGATGAGCACGAGGAGCGGAAATTCACGGACTTCGGATACGATGATCTGTTGAAATCAACCGCAGGTTGGGGCAGTAGCTCAAAGCAGGGATCTGATGCCGGTAGGCCCAACCCTAATACTGCCAAATCTGAGTCTTATGATGGCGAAGGTTACAATTTTGCGGATGAGGAGGAGAGCCATTCGCGCCGAAATGCAGGCAGCCGTGCGACTGCAAGGACTAGTCCCGCCGCTGCCAAGTTTGAGGTCGATGATGATGACGAGTATGCCGCATTGCGGATCGCCGTGATGAGGAGGAGGACCAACCACGACGAAATGCTAGGATCCGTGATGCTGCGAGGCCCAGGAGCCTCTCTCGTGGAGCCGCCAGGGACCTTCGCGTTGACAGGGATGCCCGAAGCGAGAGAGAGAGAGCCAGGGACAGTCGGGAAGTTCTTCGGGGATTGGAGGCCATCCATGACCGTGAGGGACCGGTAGGTCCCCCGGCGATTGGTGATACCCCGAATGTTCCCCCTTTTCCCAACATTACGTTTGGAGGTCCGTTAAATCAGAGAGACGTGAACTCGAACCGGGTTACTGGTTCGCCGAGAGTCACTGAGCGGGTTGCCGATGTCGTTGGGAGAGGTGCAAGAGATGGCCGGCTTGCCGATGCACTCGGAATCGAGGATCGTCCGTCGATCGCTAGCCCGTTAGGGCGAGATACCAGTGACCTTGAAACGCTAAGGTCCAGCAACGAGTTCACACCTCAATGGGGCTCGACCGCCAGGGAACGTAGTGCTTCTGCGAAGAGACCGTCACCCCTCACCATTGAGACCGATAGGTCGAAGGCGAGGAGGGCTAGCCCCTCACCAATGGACTCAACTCTGCAGGATGAGGAGATGCCTGATCCTGCTGATGTTCACATCCACTCTACTCCCGAGTCTCGTGCGTCCCATGTTGATCCCCGTTCCGGCGATAGCCGTAGAAGGGGTTCTACCCCTAGCAGGCCATCTGGGGCTGGTGATAGTCCTGTGGATGACCCCAGAAGATATGCTAGAGCTAGTGGGGCTCCTGAGAGGATCGAGATATCGACTCCTCCAGCACTCAGGTCTCATTCTTCCGGTGAATCAGGTGACGCTAGGGCAAAGGAGGTGTTCGATTTGCACATCCAGGAGATGCTCGAGAGAGGTGAGGTTTCTGGCTCAGTCGCGAAAGCGTTCCATATTTTTGCTGACCAGATCAGGTTACTGAACGGTCAAGTGAGTTCCATGAGAAGGGAATGGAGCGACGAGAATCAACAGACGAAGTACAAGGTCGATCGACTGGCAGCTGAGGTTGCGACTCAATCTGATGCCGGGAGGATGCGAATGATAGTTCAACGGTTCGCAAGGGAAGTTATTCCCGATAGCAGGGCCATTGTGAGGCAAGCCATCGATGAGCAAGCCGAGGTCGTGGAGCAGAGGATTAACCTACTGTCCCACGAGGTCCATGAATCTGTCAAGGACAATGAGGCATCGACTGATCGGCTTCGCCTGATGATTCAGGAGAATAGTGAGGCTGCCCGCAGAAGCCATGCTGCTTCTGAGGACGAGATCCTTAAGGATTTGGACAAGCTTGAGAAACGGATGTTCTCGGTAGAGAAAACCGTTGGGATGCGGACACCAGCAGGTGTATGGAACCCGAATCCTGTCGCGCATCCGTCCGATAGGGCCAGCGGCAGTGTAGTGGATGCAAATTTCAGGGAGTTAAACCTGAAGATCGAGAAAGCTCTCCTTGAACACGAGACATTTGCCAAGTGGGCCTCTGAATCTATTGAAGGGATCAAAGAAGAGCACACTCGTCTTGTTAATCGAGTGTCGAGACTGCAGAGTGGAAGGGGTTCTCAGGAGGTCGATAGACCATCAGAACATGATTCCCCGCAGGACTGGCATGAGGCTATTGACGAGATCAATCGGAAGATGCAGGATCTGGCTCGAGGAATTCAACGTCAACGTCGGGATCATGACGACATCATTTCAAGGTTTGAGACCGTGAAATCACATGTTGAACAGTATGAAGCGAGATCGGCAATTGTGAATCGGGTCGTTGATGGTATCCAAGGACAGATCCGTAATCTTCCTGCAAGCAGTGACCAAGTGCAGCCTGCCGTTAGGCGAGAACTCGGCTCGTTCCGGAGTACGCTTGAAGGCGTTATGCGGAGAGTCAGCGCTATCGATGGTAACGTGCGTAATCTTAGCGCAGCGAACAACAGAATCATGTCTCAGCTCTTTGAAATGGAGGGTCAATTTGACGAGGCCGCTGGCATCATTCAGGGTGTCCAGCAGATTAATGAGGCTCCTCAACAACCCAGAGAGAGACGGAATGTTGGTTACGATGCATTTGCGGGGCAGGGACATAGGATCAGGTCTCCGACGCCCACACCCGGGGAAGGTGACGGCCGGGGTACTGGCCGTCCGGTGAGACCAGGCGGAGGTGTTGGTTTGACTGACCAGGTTTTGCCGAATGTGCCCGATAGGGTCGATCCTTCTCGTGCAGACAGGCATCCAATATATCCCGTTAGGGAGGGGTCCGAAAGCAGAAGCCGGAGGGCTCGAGGATTACCTGACAGGTCGCATTCACCGCCAGGGCGTGCGAGGGATGGCCCCCGCGCGCGCGCAAGGGGGGACTTTTCTGTTTCTCCAAATAGGGATGTGGGTAGGAATAGGAGCCCGAGGCCTGCCGCCGTCCCCGATAGGGGATCTGAGGTCCGAAGTCGGCAATCAAGGGGGGAGAGGCCAATCCGCGATAGCGGGAGCATCTCTCCGAACCTGGATAGACCGATCCGCGATAGCGGGGACGTCTCTCCGAACCCAGCGTCATCCAGGAGGTGGTAGGGGTATTAGGGCCCATGTCGATACCCAGAGTCCCGGCAATGACTGGAGGACTCCTGGGAGCAGAGCTAGTGCAGACGTCCCGAGTCCCGGCGAGAGGTGGAGGGCCCCTGGAGCTCCATCTGATCGTGGACAGGCCCCGGAACCGGCCACGAGAGGCGCTCCCGGTGCCGGTGGCCCAGGTGTGCCAAAGATTTGCGCCCTTGATGACCCCAACGACCGTAGGCACCCGGACGCTGAATTTTCATGTGTTACATGCAATCGTGAGTTTTGCAGGCTTTGCCGGGGCGATGATGGTGATTGTAGTAATTGTCAGTTTTTGAAAATGAAGTGCTGGGCGTGTCGCAAGAATGCTCAGGAGGTCTCCATGTATTTCTGCACGGATTGTGGGACCCACGTCTGTGAGAATCATAGTTACTTTGGAGATGACGGCCTTATTCGGCATGAACGCGCTCAAGCTGGACCGCCCCCTCCTCCTCCTCCTGGGGGAGGTGGTGGGCAAGGCGGACCACCTGGTCAAGGCGGGAGCGGAAGCGGTGGTCATGGACATGCTCCACATCCACCACCAGGTCCTGGACATCCTGGCGGAGGCCAAGGTCCCGCTGGGCCCCCTGGCGGCCCGAGTGGAGGGGCACCTACCGGGGGTTACCCTGGTGGAGCACCCGGGTTCCATGGCAGTGCTGCTGATACTCATGGAGCTGGGATCAATCAATGTGGTTCCAGCTTCTATGGTCCTGCCTACGGAGGTGGCGTTAGTCACCAAGGGGTTGGCGCTGGCGTTAGTCAGTCTAGCAATGCCACGGGTTACCCCTCAAGTGTTGCGAGCGGTGGTAACCTTGGGCCGGGTCTTAGCCTCGGCTATAGTGTGAATGGTGCCGGTAGGCAGGGAGATGGTGGTCTTCTCCCTGAAGCCTTGAGGGGAGATGATGGACGGGACAGGTGCACTAAGTGTAACAGGATCCCTGAGCCTGGTTTCCCTCTTGTTCCTTGCGTTGGTTGTGGAATGAGGGCGTGTGAAGTTTGCTGCCCTATGCCTGCTAGACTGTGTGAAAGTTGCAGGATTACCTCGTGTACCCCGATAGGGGCTCTTATTTCCACCGTTGTCGATAAGGACCGGTTCCATCACAAGTGCAACACGATCGTGCTGCCTGCTGAGCCGACAGCTGATAAGCTGCGGGAGTGGCTTTCAGAGATCAAAGAG